CTTGTGAACGTGCTGTTGATGTTCATCCTCGGTACTCGTTAATGGATCTGCGCTTGGGGCCCGGATCGCAGCGCACCACACTTTCACACAGGAGAGGAGAGAAAGGCGGTGCGCTTTGGTCGAGAGCGGGGACACCCGGCGCTCCATCACGGCTACGCGTTGAAATGAATGACGTTGGTACAACATAATGTATTTCTGTTACCCCCCTTACCCAATCCTTCGTTATGTCTTGTGTCCTCTCACCGTTTGTGATAGCTAGTGTTGTCTGGTGGTGGTCGTAGATGTGCGGATACAGATCCTTCTCTGTGGTGACTGGAAATGCATATCCCCTCGCATATAAACATGTCCCCCCCTCCTCTACGTCGATACCCCTCTTTCCTCCATGTTGTATTTTGTGGACAATGCGCATGGATTAACGTTATTCTATAATCATTTGAGATGAAAAATGAATCTGTGGTGTATTTTGTAATCCCAGCCTACTGCTGCGTCAGGACTTGTTTTGCTCTTGTGATTCACCACATCCACAATATGGCAGCTTATAGCTGAGCAGTGACTTCTTCCTCTGAAGGAAATGTGATATTTGTAGCAAATAGCGGTGCAAGTGAGAGGCTGCTGCTGATGCTAGACTCCAGAGGATCATTGTAGTCTCAGCTGAGCAGTAACCAATAGCAGCTGCAGGGCTAGGCCTAATAAAGGAGGGCCTCTGTCACTCCAGGTTTCCCCCATTTTAGATGCAGCTAAACTCAGCTCCCATTTCAGAGCCCACTATATTCACTTGTTCACTTCATTTCAACGTGGCACCTGAAGCTTGCACGTTATGACACCTGCATATTTCTTATATAAGAAAGTGAAAAAACATGTCAGATGGAGATGAAAAAAACAAACCCATTTCCTCTTTTCTTCCTGTGCCATAACATAATAAAGGATTGAAGCCAGGTGTCATGAATGTTGAATGAATGTCAGAAATAGATATGCTAAAAGCCTGTCCATGACGGTCCTATAAATAGCGATGGTAGGCCGGCTGGCTGGGATTTTTAAAGACACCGTATGTGCTCTCACACTCACACACTCGAGGCTAAGTGCCATGTGTGTTTTCGTGTGTCTAGTGGCAAATGTTGTACTTTAGGTGAAGGAAAGAAATGATTTGCAACCATGTATACAAATAAATACTTTAATCACATGGTTAGGCATGTGGATGTGTGTTTTTAATTACTTCTGTCCAATGCAGGACCCCCACATTACTATATCATAATATTTGAGTATTCTACACTGCAGTGGTTATGGCTCAGATGGCCTGCATTGATTACATAGTGCATATGTGTGTTCATTAAGTTGTATATGTGTATATGAGCCTGGGTGGGTTTAATCTGTAGCTTCTCTTTGCATCTGAGTGGTGCACACGTCCCGAGCGTTCACACATTTGTAATCCCCTCCAGGGCAGGTGCCTCCTAATAGAGTACCATTAAATGCTTTGCAAGCAGAAGTGTCAATGTGCGCATGGTGTGAGCTGAGCGAGACAACAACGTGTGTGAGGATGCGAGTGTATTTCTCACCGGTTTTAGGCAGAGCGTCTTTGATTGGCTCCCAGACTCGGGGTATAAGTGTATTACATAACAGGGTTGGCAGACACAGGGAGGACGGAGCGCGAGACTCACTCAGTGCGTCGGAAAGAGGAGCCTCTTTTCTGGAGTACGGCACCTTGCTGCTCGACATCGCTCAGCTCTCGCGAAGGACCCATCCCCTCGACCGCTTCTCAAAAGAGATTTAATTATCATGATTGTATGAACCGGACTTCTCCATGCATACACTCTCTGAACAGTTTGCCACAAACATGGTAAGGTGTGTGTGTGTGTGTGTGTGTGTGTGTGTGTGTGTGTGTGTGTGTGTGTGTGTGTGTGTGTGTGTGTGTGTGTGTGTGTGTGTGTGTGTGTGTGTGTGTGTGTGTGTGTGTGTGTGTGTGTGTGTGTGTGTGTGTGTGTGTGTGTGTGTGTGTGTGTGTGGTGTGTGTGTGTGTGTGTGTGTGTGTGTGTGTGTGTGTGTGTGTGTGTGTGTGTGTGTGTGCGTGCTCAGGGATGCTGTAGGTGCCTTGCTGCAGATGTGCTATGGCTAGAGATAGAGGAGGATGTTGGAATGCAGTGGAGCTGCCAGTGCAGTGAATGCTGATGTGTTGCACTGCAAATATGATATAATAGAGTCAATAGGCTTTCTGTTCTCACATGTCGGCCTCCATGAAACAGATAGCATTGTCCCATATGTCCATATATAGGGATACATTTCTCTGCATTCATTTGCATTGACCCAAATACAGGTTTTGCGGTGTAAAGGCGGACGTTTGGCCCTCTGATCTTTGATGTTGTAACTGCAGCGTAACCATAATCATGACATAGGTCATTACAGCTGTTAGACACACAGGTAATGAGACTTCTGTGTGTCTTGCACATTGATCAAGCTAGGTGTGAAGAAGTGCTAAGGCAGGGATTGGGGAGATTGATTATGTAATGTAATTTCTAATTTATTCAGACATGTAGGGGGGGGGAAATGATGCTACGTATCAGAGAGGGCAGTGCTGATCTCATTAGGGAGATGGAGGGATGAGGGGAGGCTGTGAATGGATCTCTATCTCTCCCCTTCACTCTGCCACTCTGTTGGCTATATTACCGCAGATTGATGGGGAGTGGAGAGATTGTGCTCTGAGTGAATGGGGCTGAAAATGGGGTTGTCCTGTAAAGCATGTGAGGGGGGGGATGGGGCTGGATTAGGTAAAGCAGGCATCAGAGTAAAGAAGCAAAAAGTAAATCTGACCCGAGTGCAGAGGCTCATCTCTTCTATTGGTGCTGTTTTGTGGCTTCCAGTAACTATTCCAATATGAATCCTTTTTCTTGAATCCCCAATGATTTTAAAATCTTTTTGAGTACTATTCATTGGTGCTGTTTCCATGGCAGCGTGACACATGTTTTTGCGGTAATCTTCCTCTCTTTCTAGAGTGGAGAGCTTTGATGTATAGGTTATAAGATCTATTGCTACCCTGGCTCCCATACGGGATTGGATCCACCTTCTCAATGACATCTTTGATCTAGAGCCTGCGTGCAGAGGCCTCCACTGTGTACATTTCTGCAATTTAGCATTGACATAGAAATGATCTCATTACTGGATCGACTACTAACTCAGGTTTTTATTTGAATATTTAATTAGCAGAGTGATGTTGCAGTTATTCAGCCTTCACTCTTTGTGTGTCAGCTGCTTCACACACACACACACACACACACACACACACACACACACACACACACACACACACACACACACACACACACACACACACACACACACTTAAATGTAGACATATTCTGGTGCCTCCTGAAGCGTCCTTGCCTCATCCCATCATCTTGTCAATACCAGTGAAGCATCCTCATCTGTCGCCATGACGACGGTCGCTCTTTCCCTTCCAGGCATGGAGGTCCCTCCCTATGTCCCCCCTCCTCTGCCCCTGATTGGCTCGTATGCCCGCAGGCGTCTCAGTAAAGCTATCGGGGAAGAAGGCTTGTCTACAGGTTGAAGGGGCAACGTAGCTGCTGAGTCGGAGAGCTTACATCCTCACTGGGGGGCTCGGCTGAATACAAACAAACACACACACACAGTATGCGGTTTCCTGTGGACCTCCTTAAAAACACACCGCATCAGCACATAGGTAGAATAGCATATTTGTGCTGGAGTGATGAGGTGCATTTTAAAGAGGTTTTACCATCAAGGGATTTCATTTTATACGAGGCAGAGAATAAAAGAAGGGGGAAACAAACTCAGCTTATAAAGTAACACTACCTCAATATTAATACGCAGAAGCCTTATTACAAGTGAAGAACTAACATAATGTCCGTCCATGTGACATCCCGTGTCTGCAGGCCTTTGATAACTCCTTACCTAGAGACTAAGCAGCTCCTGTCAGGCTCGGTTAGCGCTGGCTGCTCGGCCCACAGCCCCAGGGACTCGACGCATGGTTAGCTCCGGACCGGAGAATGCTGATGAACACTACGTCGGGGAGAACAATTGGAACAAACTGTTGGAGCCGTGCCTCAGCTGCATGCAGGGGTTTAATGTATGGGAAGTGTGGCTGCACGTGTGCACATATAGTGTTTTTGCACGCCTCGAAGGCCACAAAGCCTCGGCGTGATGGATGAATAGGCTGTTTGGTAGATGGATGATGTCCTTCTCGGGAACATTGTCCGCCATCTTTTGTCCTTTAATGAGAACCACCTTTAGCCTCTTTGAAACCCCCGTAGAATACTGATCACCTGACAGGAAACATTACACACTGTTCCCAATGCAAGCTCGCAAAAATAACAGTGCATGCGCACAGTTGAAAACATTCATTCCCATGTCCACATTATTTATTCATGATGCTAAAATCAATAGAACAGATTTGATGAGTCACCCTTCCATGTTTTGTCAAAGACTGTGCCGCTGATAAAATAACAAGCCATGGTGACAGCATGAGGGAAAGGAGATTATCCCTTCACATTTGTTTGCTCCTCTGCATTTATATTACATTAACACATGTAATTATTCTAATGTCATAATGGGCCAATTACCATCCCTGTGTGGAGACTGGTGCTGTGCTTCTGAACGCTGTGTTGTTTCTCCACTAATGGCTCTTCGTTGTGGCTTGTGTCGTCGTATCTTGTTGTGTCGTAGTGTGGTCTGTGTCTTGGCTATTGTGTCATCCTATTTTGCAATCCCTAAACTGCAACTGGGCCCCTGGCTTTGAGGGTGTGTATTTGCATCCATTAATAATCTGAGTGGGCTTAACAACAAGGATTCACATAAATTGAGGCCAAAAGGAGACTGAGTACTGAATTATAATCGCTTTTAAATTTGATTTCGATGCTGTTTTAGGTCACGTGGATCAGTATTGGTCCTCCTGCTGTTGCAGTAGTCTTCCCACAGCGCTTCGCATTATGAGAATAAAGCGTAAGATTGTCTGTCTTTCCCTCCCATATCTCCAGTTGATAAGTGGAGGTTCAATCGTCAACGCTGAGGCGGTATGGGACCATGTGACCATGGCGGACCGGGAGTTGGCGTTTAAGGCCGGTGACGTCATCAAGGTGCTGGACGCCTCCAACAAGGACTGGTGGTGGGGCCAGATTGACGAGGAGGAAGGATGGTTCCCTGCCAGCTTCGTACGGGTGAGTTTGCTGCAGCCATAGCTGGACACCATAGACAAAACACACACCCACACACACTGGAATAAACATATGCACACAAGTTTTTTTTAGTTTTTTTTAGTTTGTTTGTAGCCTTTATTTAACCAGGTGAAGCCCCTTGAGATCAAAAGATCTCTTTTTCAAGGGTGACCTGCAGGACATTAGTTACACATGTAACATAAAAACAACAGAACAACAATAAGGATGACATACAACATAATGTACAGGGTACAGTTTACAAACTCTATTTACAGTGACAGGTACCATGAGTATCAAACAGCATGTCACCCAGCTGAGTTTTAAAATGATGCAGGGGAACCAAAGTGCTCAGTTTTAAACATGTTTGCAGACTGATCCAATTTAGTGGAGCTGCACAACTAAAAGCTTTCTTCCCTAAGACAGTCCTAGCACTTGGCACATTTAATAAAACAACATCATGAGATCTCAGGCAATATGTACTTTCAATTCGTCGAGAGATCAGAGAGCAGATATAAAAAGGTAGTTTACCCAACATGGCTTTGTAAATGAACATGTACCAATGACTGAGCCTCCGTACAGTTAGTGAAGGCAGACCTGCCTTGGCATACAGGGTACAGTGATGAGTAAGTGCTTTACAGTTAGTAACAAATCTCAGGGCACTGTGATAGGCGACATCTAACTTTTCCAGGCAATGGGCAGGTGCATTCATATAGATCAAATCACCATAGTTGAGGTCATATACACAAAAACACACACATGGGTCGCAAGCATCGAGCCTTATGCAGCAGATTTCTCTTGATTTTATGGAGGAAAATACATAAAAAGTCAACCTTAGATTGTTAACATGCATATCTACTCATACCCAGGTGTGCTGAATGATAAATAACACGTCACCGTAATTTGGAGGCGTATGGCCAAGTGTTTATAATTAGCCTTGGTAACGCCCACTGAACACTAAATAAGGTCAGGTGCCGGGTGCAAACACTCTGGTGCATGCCCGAGAATTGGAGCAATGTCTACAAAAAACAAATATACTGTATAAAAAGAAGAATTTCAGTAGTAGTCAAATGAAAATACTGTTAAATGAGTCAACATTTTCTGACGGTCAGTACTGATGATGACATTTAAAAAGATTTAAAAAGAGTGAAATGCTTCCTTTGTAGCTGGACACATGCTTTATCATCCTCCAGGGATTTTATAGTCTTAATTAGGATCAATGGGCCAATATATTTTCTTTAGCCTACAAATGTAATTATCCAATCATTATAATAACACTTGATTACATGCTTCTTTTAAATGTTCCTCACATTTTTCAAACATAATGATTCCTTGTGTTGGAGAATCGATTCCCGGACTGTGAAAGCTAGATGTTTTTTTTATCTTTGTAAGAGTGCTTAAAATATTCTTTTGAAAATAGCAAAAAAAACATTGATGGATCCCAGGTACTAAGCAATAAGAACAAATTGTACAAAATATGAAATATGTACTTTTAATGCTTCCTGCATGAGGCACATTGATGTGCTTGCTCCACACACATATACAAACTGTTAAATAATGCTTTATTTTTGTAAACATTGAAGATATGAGAGAATAGCTAGCTACAGTAAGTGCCTTTTATCGGGCGTTCAGGGACAGCGAAAACAAAGCTGCTGATGCCTTTTTAAACTTCCTACCCTTGAAACCCACTTAAATATCCAACGTCCTCACTTTACATGGTGATTATATAATCCCAGCCATATTTGAGCTGGACTAAACACTGATGACGCAGCTACTGCATGTTATTCCCTACTTCTGTTACTCACCGAAGGAAGAACTAGCATCCTTGTTTGTAGGTGGAGGCTTCCCACAGCAGACACACACCCTCTCCTCTCCCCACACAGATACACTTCATGGCCATCCCCCACCTCTCCACCCTTCCATCCTCACTCCTGAGAGGGCAGGGCAGACAGGCTGACTGACTGTCGACCAAAAAAAAGTATCTTTCTGTTCTGTCATTCTCTCTCTCCAAGGTGGAACCCCACCCTCCTCAGCCCCAAACAAAACAGGTTTTCTATCTCAACCCCATAGCAACTCCACGGTTCCAAAACACCACGTCAAAGGTGCGTTCTCCCAGCTTCATCCACCCATCCAGCCTGCCCGCCCACCCGCCCGCTCCAGTCTGTCTACGCAACGTACCCTCGACATTACCAAACATTAACATGACGTTTTCACACCATCCTCCACGGGGTCGATACAGAGGCAGAACTGACGAGTCAAAAGTAAAGTTTAAAAGCATTATTAGATTTTGGAATCATTATTCCTGTACATTTCTATTTTTAAATATTGATTACTTTCTCCATTTACTATTGACTCTGACTTTTTTCTCAGTCTTAACGCCGCGCTACTCGTTCTCCGTCTGCAGTCAGTGCTCCACCCGTCACTCTGCTTGTCTTTGGCGCTGCATTTCTCATCCTGTGTTTGGCATTCTACCCGTCGGTTCTTTGATGTTCTCTTGGCAAACTGTGTGTCATCAGGTGTTGGCTGCTGGACATCTGAAACCACGCACACTTGGCCCCTTTTTATGAGAGATAGTGAAGTGCACCGTGTGTGTTGGGTACTGTGTGTGTCGCAGGTGCATGCATATGTGAGGAAATTGAATGAGAGTGTACGTGCATGCGGTGGGGAGGGAGTCTTTTTGAGTCACACACAGGGCCGGAGTTGGGCATTAAATAATCTCTGTGCGCAGAAAGAGATATTTATTTTAAACTCTGCAGTTTGTCGCTCGTTTTTATGGAGGGACACTCTGGTCAAACTACCAGAGACCCTCTAAATGAAGCTCTGTGTGTGTGAGATATGTGTTCGTGTGTGAGTGTGCATTCATGCTCACGAGGAGTGACCAATACCACTTATATGGAAAAGATCTTTTAATATAAATACCTAAATGTGTTTATTAATTCATTTTGCTAGATTTATACTCTTAAGAGACTTAACTGTGCACATTTCTTATTCAAGTGCATGTGTGTGTGTGGCTCTGTGTTTCTCTGCGTGTGTGTGTGTGCGTATGTGTGTTTCTTTTTACTCAGCTGTGGGTGAACCAGGAGGATGGGGGAGGGGAGCCGTCCGAGGGGACCAGTGAGGTGCAGAACGGGCACCTGGACCCGACCAATGACTGCCTGTGTCTGGGCTCGCCCCTCCAGAACCGGGACCAGATGAGAGCCAACGTCATCAACGAGATCATGAGCACAGAGAGACACTACATCAAACACCTCAAGGACATCTGCGAGGTACTAAACCGTGCACACACACACACACACACACACACACACACACACACACACACACACACACACACACACACACACACACACACACACACACACACACACATATACCATGTATACATCACTTCAGCGGACATTACATGAACTTACATGCATTTCCTGGAGACTTATCCTAACCTTAACCATAACCAACACATGCCTAACCCTAAACCTAACCAAGTCTTCACCCTAAAATTAATGATTCCCCTCATGGGGACCTCCAATTTGTCCCCATAAGGGAGGCGAGTCCCCACACGTGACTGTGTAAACAGATTTAGGTCCCCACAAGTATAGTAATGCTAGGCCACACACACACGTAAGAAGCTGAATCAACTGAAATGTGTGTGAGAGAAAGAGCGGCCCATTTCATGCTACACAACACTCTAGTATGAATTCTTCACACTCCCACATTCACACTTCTATTCAAGGCATATTTTTTCTCTTGTTTTCAAGATATTAAGACACAATTTGTCACTTGTAAACAGCGATGGCAGCAGCCACACTTGGAGATGTTCAGCCCAGATTACATTTGTCATTATTTTATGATTCATGCCGTAGTGACAGGCTAGATTTAGACGAGAGCCTTGGAATTTGTTTCAGTTAAAGCAAGGCTCTTTATAAAAAAAACTCAAAACATGACACATCCAAATGTATACTTTGTTATTGAAATATATTTAAAAAGTCCTCAATTCTGTGCACTCATACAATTCTGTAATTCTTTTTAAATGCATTTGTGTGACTGTATATGGGCCTAGCTTTACATGGCATACAATTAATTCACTGTAGCCTAATACATATATGCATGTACACTATTGTTGGTATATTTTAATGTGAAATAGACTATAGTTATGATGACCGATGTCCTTTCCATACCTTCATGCTTGTTTTTCTGGTATCAATAACAATATAATACACTGTTAAGTAGGGATGCTCCGATCGACAATTTTGGGACCGATCGCCGGAATCAGTATCGGCCGATACCGATCGCCAGGGGCGCCGTAAGGGGGTGAAAAGTTAGGACGATTATAAGGGCCCCGTGACTGACAGGGGCCCCAAAAAATTGTAGAACAGTAAGAAAAAATGTTTAAGTAACCTTTCATCAATCATCAATAATTAACATTACTATAACTATTTGATAATAATAATATTATCAAAGATAACGTTGAAGCACCCCCCAGGATTGCCAAAGCACCCCCCTAAGCACCCCCAATAAATATGTTTATTTTATTTATTTTTTTCGAAAATTATTATTAGGGCCCGAGCACGAAGCGCTAGCACGAAGTGCGAGGCACCTATTGTTATTGGTGGAATTATAATTTTTCTGCCAGCGTTTCCTGTTTTTGAGGCCTTTAGGACGCTGACAAAGTTGTATAATTTTGCACGGACGCCAGGACTGGTGAAAAATACATTATTCTGGAGTCAATGAGTTCAAATTGTCCAACGTGCTCGCTAGCGCCACCTATGAAAAACCCATTTCGGAATACATTTACAAAGTCGCACCGTAACTCCAAATGACCTGAAATGTTGCACACATATCCGGGTGGACCTGCTCTACAAATAATCCTCTTGGAACCCTAAGGTCCGCCTACATTTTTCTTCTTCCAAATTAGCATAATGTTCAAAACAGTGAAATATTCACTTAAATTTCAATTTTAGTTTTTTTTACACTAAACTTAGTGTACAGCATCCGTGGAGGGTCATACACATTACCCTAGGAGATGAGCATGTTCAAACGATAAATATTTCCGCCATGAATTAAAACGTACTCGCAAAAAGGCGGGGCTTAGAAAAAAATGCTCATAACTCATCAACAATGTATCCAAACATCACAGATTTTGGTAAATAGGTTCAGTCTGTCTTGGGAAATAGGCACACCAACGCATTTTCATTTTTGGACTATAGGGGGCGCCAAAAACACCACCAATTTATAACTCAAGGGCAGATGGACTCATCTTTTCTTCTTTTTTTTTACACATACTCTCGGGGTGACTATGAACTCAGATTTAAAGTGTCGCAACAAATGCAGAATGTGGGCGTGGCCTATACATTTTTTTAAAAATGCGATAGCATAAAATGAGCTTCGGACGCAAAACTTGGGACAAACGTCAGAGCCCAGGACCTTTTCGAGAATGTAAAAAAAAAACGTAAATTTTCCAAAAAACTGCTCACTAGCGCCCTGTGTGGTAGTCACATCGTTTCTCAGAACTTCACGAATTTTGGCACAGACATTCCTCATGGAATTGCGGACATATTTGTACATACATTCCATTAGCCCCGCCCCCCATAAAGTTGGCCATTTTGAAATATGTGCGTTTTTTATGCATTTTAAGCACATTCTTGCGCACTCCTCCTAGGGGAATGATCGAAAAAATTCCAATCCAGGACACGTTCAGCCCCTATCCAATACGATACTTAATTGAGGAGCACATTTTTGAAAAATTACTCGTGGAGGTCATAAGCTAACAGCGAATACACAATTTTTGACGATTTACATGTCACAAATTACTCCAAACTACTCGGATATAGTTATTCCGATATTCACGAAACGCTGTATACATATTTCTATTATGATTGCACATATATTTCAAATTGCCTTCCATTAGCCCCACCCCCCAGAAAGTCGGCCATTTTGAAAAATGTGCGTTTTTCAGCCATTTTACGCACGTTCTTGCAAACTCCTCCTAGGAGAATGATCAGAAAAATTCCAATGCAGGACAGGTTTAGCTCCTATCCAATATGATACTTAATTGAGGAGCACATTTTTGAAAAATTACTCGTGGAGGTCGTAAGCTAACAGCGAATACACCAGTTTTGACGATTTACATGTCGCAAATTACTCCAAACTACTCGGATATAGTTATTCCGATATTCACGAAACGCTGTATACATATTGCTATTATGATTGCACATATATTTCAAATTGCCTTCCATTAGCCCCGCCCCCCAGAAAGTCGGCCATTTTGAAAAATGTGCGTTTTTCAGCCATTTTACGCATGTTCTTGCGAACTCCTCCTAGGGGAATGATCAGAAAAATTCCAATGCAGCACAGGTTTAGCCCCTATCCAATATGATACTTAATTGAGGAGCACATCATTGGAAAATTACTCGTGGAGGTCGTAAGCTAACAGCGAATACACCATTTTTGACGATTTACATGGCGCAAATTGCTCCAAACTGCTCGCATATAGTTTTTCCGATATTCACGAAACGCTGTATACACATTACTATTATGATTGCACACATATTTCAAATTGCCTTCCATTAGCCCCGCCCCCCAGGAAGTCGGCCATTTTCAAAAATGTGCATTTTTCATTTATTTTAAGCACATTCTTGCGAACTCCTCCTAGGGGAATGATCAGAAAAATTCCAATGCAGGACAGGTTTAGCCCCTATCCAATATGATACTTAATTGAGGAGCACATTTTTGAAAAATTACTCGTGGAGGTCGTAAGCTAACAGCGAATACACCAGTTTTGACGATTTACATGTCGCAAATTACTCCAAACTACTCGGATATAGTTATTCCGATATTCACGAAACGCTGTATACATATTGCTATTATGATTGCACATATATTTCAAATTGCCTTCCATTAGCCCCGCCCCCCAGAAAGTCGGCCATTTTGAAAAATGGGCGTTTTTCAGCCATTTTACGCATGTTCTTGCGAACTCCTCCTAGGGGAATGATCAGAAAAATTCCAATGCAGGACAGGTTTAGCCCCTATCCAATATGATACTTAATTGAGGAGCACATCATTGGAAAATTACTCGTGGAGGTCGTAAGCTAACAGCGAATACACCATTTTTGACGATTTACATGGCGCAAATTGCTCCAAACTGCTCGCATATAGTTTTTCCGATATTCACGAAACGCTGTATACACATTACTATTATGATTGCACACATATTTCAAATTGCCTTCCATTAGCCCCGCCCCCCAGGAAGTCAGCCATTTTCAAAAATGTGCATTTTTCATGCATTTTAAGCACATTCTTGCGAACTCCTCCTAGGGGAATGATCGTAAAAATTCCAATCCAGGACAAGTTCAGCCCCTATCCAATATGATGCTAAATTGCGAAGAAAATAGTTGCTAGCTCAAACGGGGAGCTCGTAAGCTAACGGAGAATGTACCATTTTTGACGATTTACATGTCACAAATTAATCCAAACTACTACATTTCCATTTTTGGAAACCTTTACAAAGTGGCACCGTAACTCCGAATGACCTGAAATTTTGCCCACTTATTCGGGTGGACCTACTCTACATATTATGTCCTTGAACCCCAAAGCTCCACCTACTTCATTTTTTTTTAATTAGCATAATGTTAAAAACAGTGAAATATTACTTTAAATTTCCATGTTTTCTTTTTCAACGCCAAACTTAGTATACAGCATCAGTGGAGGGTCAGACACATTACCGTAGAAAATGAGCATGGTCAGTCGATAAATATGCCTGTCATTAATCTAAATGCGGGGCTTAGAAATAAATGCTCATAACTCCAAAACCACACACACACACCGGCTCTGCTGGCGGCAAAATCAATTACAACAGACACCTATACACTCCACAACAGACACCTACTGACTGTACAACACACACATACAGCTCCTAAAGCATATCATGTAGATCAGGCTACAGCCCTTGTATATTTTATTATGTGAAGCACGATATGGTTTCATGAAAAAGATCTACTGTTTACTTGTAGATATCTACTAAAGCATACAAATAAAGTGTGTAATGTAGGCCTGTTACATTATTGATGTTCTCACTGTAAACATTGCGTCACAATGAAAGCGGTTGTATTAAAAAAAAAGAGCCTAACATCCAGGGGAGATGTGATTAGTGAGTAAACAAACGGTAAAGGGCAGAAAGTCTGATGGACATTTGATCATCTTGAATAACTTATAATCACAACGGGAACAGTTTGCAGAGCTGTGCTTCGTTGACAGAAGTCTAGCCATGCGT